ATAGGCTTCATGGAGCACTGCCGTAACTTCTGTCCACACGTCACATTGATCGCACTGTAGCCATAGACCAGTAGAATCCTTGATGGGGACGACCGACCTTGCAACCAAGAGCTGCCCTTCCTTGTCGCCACCCTCGATCATGAAGTGTCGCATTGCAGGAAACTGCTCTGACTTGACAGTCGGTATGTCTCCCGAGACTGGGAAGACGGCAGAGGTAGTCGTCGGCTGGCTCTTATCTCGTCCACAATAGACGTCTAACTGCTCGTCACTGAGAACTGCCAACTTGACATTAGAAATATGCACTTGTCCTCGGGGTTGGTCACTCAAAGAAGATATCTCTACCAATTGTGCCGAGCCCGTCACTTCTTCACCTCCCATACACTTGAAAGGACCAGTCCATCGGGGCTTGAGCTTATTAATGCTGTTGGCCGCAACCCAGAGCAAGTCACCCTTCTTGTAGGGAGCTAAGTTTGAAGCTCGGGGACGTCTACTCTTCTCAGCCATCTTGAAGGCTGTCTTCCGCAAGCGACTCAATGTATGCTCATGAAAGGTTTTGAGCATATCCTGGAAACTCCTACGCTTAGCCTCGACGTAGCTTTTGTACTTGGCATCATCGTAATCCAACGCATTTCCATGCCTATTGATGAAGGCGTCGAGATTGGGAGGATTAGGCGGTCTTGGAGAGTTCGATGGTGGTGGCTTGGGTGCTGCTGCAAAAATCAAGTCGTTGGGGGTGATGTCGCCCGCTACCGGTGTAGAGTTCAGTGTTGAGGCCACCTGGGGAACAAGGGCATACCACGGGGAAAGAGTGACGCCTCGAGCCTGCTCATCCTCACGTATGGCTCTGATGAGAGCCCAGAACTCCAGATGTTGGCGCTCAAGATAGCTGCGGCGGAATGCTGCATATGGAGCTTGAGCTACAACTGATATGCCTAGAGATGCCGCCCATCCAACATACATCTTGCCTGTGAAACTCCTATCTTGATCGACCACAATATATTGTGGGTACCGTGCTTGTGGAAATGGTACTCGGTAAGTAGTCTGGCAGAGTGCTGACTTGTCCGTGCTAGATAGAGCACTGTAGCGAGATACAGTCGTATATATGCAGAGCATATT